GGATTGTACTTCCACAGACGTGGGACCCGCAGATGTGCTTCCGCCCAGGGTTGGGGGGCCGAGGGGTGGAGGCTGTGGGGAAGAGACCACGGCCCCTGGCCCATAGGCAGAGAAAAGGTCTGTGTGTCTGGGCTCCTTTCACTGGGGTCTGGAGGGAAGGACAGTAGGGCCCTGTGCTGGGTGGCTTCCATCTCCTAGTTTCAGGAAGAGGGGCGGCTTGTTCTGGGTGAATGTCCCCGGTGGAGACCAGTCCCTGCACCGCAATCCTGCAGCGGTGGGGGTGGGGGGGAGGCACGGGCAGCAAGGAGACAGGGAGGGGACGAGCGAAGGCCGAGACCTTGTCGCTGCAGGAAGCGGGCCTGAGGCGGAGACTCGGGTCTGGGAAGTCCCTGCTTTCAGTGACTTATGCGCTCCTCGTTCAGAGGAAGCACGGGGCACCCACTTGGCAAGCGAGTCTGCATACGGGCAGAGGGGCGGCCGCCCACGCGTGGGGGGCAGAGGGGCAGGCCGCCCGGCCCTCTGCCTCAGCCCTGCCGGCCCACAGCCCTGTGAGTGCTCACTGTCTTTCATTTTAACCTTGTTTTTCTTTCTTTCTTTTTTTTTTTTTAAGGTTTTATTTATTGGTTGGGGGGACATGAGGTGGGGCTGGGCAGAGGGAGAAGCAGCCCAATGTGGGGCTCGATCTTAGGACCCTGAGATCGTGACCTGAGCTAAAGTCGGACACTTAATGACTGAGCTGCCCAGGCGCCCCTTGTTTTCTGCGAAGATGTAGCTGGCTCTGTCGCGTGGTCCGTGAGCGGGGGTGTTTCGTCTAACAAGTAGAGAGGCGATCCTGTCTTACCTCATTTTCACTGTGGCCTTGTAATCAGACAGCCCCATACAATTTTTTAAAGTCTGTTTACTTTTTTTCCCCTAAAGATTTTTATTTATTTATTTCTGAAAGAGAGAGAGAGAGAGAGAGAGAGAGAGAGAAGCAGAAGGAGAAGCAGGCTCCCCGCCAAGCAGGGAGTCTGATGCGGGACTCGATCCCAGGACCCTGGGATCACGACCTGAGCTGAAGGCAGATGCTTAACTGCCTGAGCCACCCAGGAACCCTAAAGTCTGTTTACTTTTTAATTGAGGTCTAATTTGCATGTCGTGCAATCCTTTCTTTTCGCGCCTACAAGTTAGCCGTTTCTGATGCATTCACGGCGTTGTGCAACTGTCACCACCATCTGGCTCCTGGGTGTTCTCATCGCTCCCACTGAAGCCACAGACCCATTAGCAGAGTCCCGCCCCACTCCCACCCCCAGCCCCCAGCCTCCCCCGGCTCTGTCCTGGATGGCTGCGGAATCCTGCGGAAGCCTCTCTCCGTGGCCCTTGGAGACTGGCTCTCCCCACCCCCACGTGTTTGCCTGGGAACAGCACTGCCGGGAACGTGGGCGGCCGGACCGGGGTTTGGGTTTACGTCTCAGGTGTGCACGAGGGAGTGGAGTCGCCTGCTCCCAAAGTGGGTCTGTTTATTGAGGGAGGAGCTGCCAGACCGCTCCCCCGACCTGCACGCCCAGCGGCTGTGTGTGGGGTTTGCGCGGCCTCGCGGTCACGGTCACCCTGTGTGACCCGCCCGCCGGGCAGCGGCATCCCCGCGTTGCCTCCTCCACACCCAGCGATTTTCCCCTCGCGATGAACAGCTCTCCGGCCTTCCAGAAAAGAGCTGTCTTGTCTTTTCCCTTGTTACAGAAGCGATCGCTCGTTCTAAAGGTTAAAAAGTTGAGGTGAAGATGAGACGCGAAGAGGGACGAGCGCTCCTGCTGCGGGAGTGGCATCGGTGGGACTTTTCTCGGGCTTTCTCCCACGTGGCGCTGACGGGTTCTCCCGTTTTTCCCTGCTCTAACTCTGGCCGTGAGGAACTATTTTTTGTCTGCAAGAAGTATTTTCTGAGGTCTGGGTTTCCCCTCAGATCAGCTTCTGGAGCGGGGGGTTGCCTGGTCAGGGGCCCCCAGCGCCCGCGTGCGGCTCCGCAGCTGTGTGGCGACTGTCCCGTGGCTCCGAGCCCAGCGCTGTGCCAGCGCATCCCGGCTGCCCGCTGCCACCGTCCACATGCTGCTGCTGCTGGCGACCTCCAGCACCGGCCCCCACGTCTGTGACCCCAGTGTCCTCGTCTGTGAAGCACGGGTCGTAACGACGCTGACCTCAGAGGGTCCCACATTTCACCCACTCCTCATGCTCTGTGCGCCCTCGAAGCCCTGCAAGAGAGCCCTCCCACCCCTGCGTCTCTAGCCTCTGCTCAGGGCCTTTGCACACGAGGCCCTGCATCCCTCCTCCCTGCTCCTCCTGCAGGGCCGCTCCTGCGGCTCCTCCTCCTGGGAGATCCTCCTCCGACCTCCCGGTGCAGCAGGCCATCCCTCCCCTCCCCTCCCCGCCCCCGCCCCCCCAGCATATCTTCAAGGCACTTCACTGGGTGAACTCGCCTTTCGTGTTCAGACACTTGTTCCTCGCTGGCAGGGCCCCCTTATGTGGCTGGGCTGTGGCCTGATCACCAGGGCGCTCTCCAGTGTCGGAGCGACGCCTGGCCCGTGGGGAGACCCTGCGCCTCTGGGGTGGGAGTGATGGGGGTGGGGGCGGAAAGACGCCAGCACCCGCAGAACTGCTGATGCTCCCGCCTTGGCTCCCGTGAGGGCGACGGGAAGATCCCGTCTGATGAGGGCCCTGCGGGGAGGGGGCCTGTGGTCCTCGGGCAGCTGTCCCGTGTCACGGTGGGCGCTGTGATGCTGCGTGGAGCCAGAACCTGAGCAGGGCACCCCCTGTGTGTGTTTCCTTGCCAACCTGGCCCGACCCCGTGGTGGCTCCCTGTCATCAGTGGCAGGGCTGGGGGTGAAGAGGCCTGGCGCTTGCCTGCGGGCTCCAACCAGGGGCCCCTTGCTGGCCTCCACCGGGCCCCTGCCTTCTGTCCGCATTTCAGCAGCGCCTCCGAGGCAGCCACTTGCCAGCCCCTGCTCAGGGTCCCCCAGCGTGGCTCCTGGCCCCTGAGACGGGCTTGCCTTTGTCTTCGCCCGTGTCCCATGCTCTTCTCGATCCTTGTTGACGGTTGGCTGGGTTTCAGGACGGCAGAGCAGTTGGGACCAAGGAGTCTGCAGCGGCACCTTTGGCGTCCTGTCCCTGCTCCGCGATGACCTCACTGTGACCTCACGTCCTCTTCTGTGACGTGGGGAAGGGGATCGTTGACAGCACGGCAGTGCAGGGTGGCACAGAGCTGGGGCCAGCGGCCGAAAAACGGGACCCCGGCGTCCAGGTTTGGCTGGTGGGAGGCACATGGGATGCCTCTGTGTGAGTGAGCACTCGTCTGGCGAGGACCTGGCGGGGACAGCCCGGGTTCACGGTTCTCCGCGGGCCGTCTGCCTCCAGGTCTCGGCCACTTGTGGCTCAGCTTCCTCCTCTGCGTGCTGGGCGGCAGCATGGCCCACTCAGAGGGCTCGGGCGGGACCGAATGCGGTAATGGCATGTGATGTGTGTAGAACTGGGCCTGGACCTGGGAGATGCGTGCGAGTGTCTATGAACTGGACAGGTGGCTTCTCAGAGATCAGCGGAGGTTACTGAGGGGATAGGCTTGAGCCCCCTGGCAGTGGAATGGGTTCCTTTCGGTGCCTGGATGGTGGCGAGCCCCTTGTCAGTGGGGGATTCAAGAGAAGTGGGTCTGGCATATTGTGCTGGGGGCAGATGGTTGCCGTTGGCGGGTGCTCGTGCTCAGCCGCTCCTCTGCGGAGAGGTCCCCGTGTGTGGGGGGCGGGGTTTGCCCTGAGCTGCGTGCACTCAGCTTCGGGGACCAGGTCCCCGTCCCTGGGGAGTGCTGCCACAGCAAGGGACGGGTACCCCCGGTGCCAGGCCCTGCTGCAGTGCAGGACAGACGAGACCACCTGGGGCCGGGGGCCTGTCCCGGTCTCCGGCTGCTGCCCGCCAGCTCCTCGCCCAGCAGGGGGTGCCTAGGTTGTCTGCCCCGGGAGTCATGCCCTGCCACATGGCATTGCCCCCGGCGGTGGTGAGCAGTGAGAACCTGACCCTCGAGACCAGTAAAGAAGGAGGGAGGGGAGCGGTTTCTCCTCGGCAAGGCTCACTGCGTGGGGTGGGCGGTGGAGAGATGAAGACACGTCCACACGGTACGTGTGCTCAGACGTCTCCAGCGGCTTTGCTCCTCAGCCCCGAGGTGGAACAGTCCAGACGCCGTCCACGTCGGCCGGTGGACAGATGACATGGAATGTGGTCCGTCCGTACGGTGGAGTCTCGTCCAGCCGTGAAAAGGACATTCGGACGAGTCCTGCGAACGTTACACTGAGAGAAGACGCAGGACACCCAGTGACATGGCGTCCCGTTTCCCGAAATCTCCAGATCCCGCAGATCCTCAGAGATGGAGGCCGCCGCTCCCTCCCCCGAGGCCAGCATTGTCGGGCCGCCCCTCTGAGTGCAGATGCCCAGAGGCTCGCGCCTTCCCCCAGGACCCCCATACAGAGTCTTGCTGGGAGACCCGAGCGCATGAACCCCCTAGAGCACTCAGGTGCCCATGTTGGCCTCGCCATTCCGGGGGCGATGGGCCGGGATGGGCTCTGGGGCTAGAGCTGCATCTGCGTGTCGTCTTGTTTAAACCTCAGGCCCGTGAGACGTGTCGGCGTGTTGGTGGCGGTCCGGGTGCTGGGAGGTGGGGGGGAGGGAGGCTGAGGCAGGGAGCTGGTCTCCCCAGGCTCCAGCTTACGGATGGTGGAGCCAGGACACATGCCTGGCCGGTTGGCTGCAGCGCCGGGCTTCCTCCTTCCCCAGATGGTGCGTGGCCTTGGGCTGGTCCCCTGCGCAGGGGGGAGATGAGGGCCGTTTTTCCATTGTCACTCAGGTAGCAGCTGCGTGTGCTGTCTGCCTGCCCGGGCCGAGCTGGGTGCTCGGAGCTCAAGCGCGGATTGGAGCCGACGTGGCGCCTGGCTTCCTACTCTGGCGTCCTCTGATCTCTGCCCTTCCGTCTCCTCCCCTTCTTCCAGGGACCCAGACATGGAGCTGCGGGAAGAGGCATGGTCTCCGGGGCCGCTGGATTCCGAGGACCAGCAGATGGCCAGTCACGAGAACCCAGGTGAGGTGGCCTTGGGCAGTGCTCAGTACCCCTCCTGGACCCCGGCTTCCTTTCCCCTCTGCTCCCGTGGCCCAGGAGTGATGCCTCCTTCCTCCAGAGGGTCACGGGCGCCCTTGGGGGCCGCTTCTCTCCTTCTGCCCGTCCTCTCCACCCTCGCAGCCCAGCCTCCTTGCTCCCCGGTGTCCTGGCCCCTCTGCCCTGTTTCTAGGTTGTCTGCAGGTCTCTCAAGCGAAGAGCTATAGACGGAGGGTGGGCATTGTGGGGCTGGGGTGACAGGACCACAGAGGAGGGTGTGATGTGTGCCAGTTTTGGGGGGAAAGCTGAGTATCTGAGTTTTTAGGGGAAATCTTCCACTTTTTCAACATCGGTATCCTGTTGTGTTTAATAAAGCATTATTTGGGTTGAATAAAACTCACCTCTGAGCACTCGGGGCCAGGGTTTGCTTGCTGAGACTCTGCTTTCTGGTTTCCAGGGGTTTTCCCGTAGGGCATCCGAGAAATAAAGCATGGGCTTGGCTTTCATGCTGCTGTCGGTGTGTTTTCGTGCTGGCTGTTATGCCGGCGTGGCGTCAGCAGGTGTGTTTTTTACACAGAGGCCAGAGGGGAGAGATTTTTGGCTTTGCAGAGCCCGTGCCCCTCGCAGCAGGAAGGCAGCCAGTACGGAAGTGAGTGGACGCGGCCACGTGCTGGTAGGACTTTACATTCACAACGGGCGCTGGGTCTCGGCCCCGGTGCCAGCATCCCACAGCTGTCTGCGAGATGGGCCACGGGGCCTGGACCGTGGTCGGGGGTAGGGTTTTTAAAGCCTCTGGGCCTCCCGCCCACGCGTTATCATAAGATCACCCAGAGGAGCATAAAGAGAAGCTCCCTGTAGGCAGGTCCTGGTGGCCTTGGTTACCGAGGAGGAAACAGAGGCGGGGTCTCCGTGCTCACTCTGACCCAGCAGCCCTCCCTGGGGAGGACCATTCCCGTCCTTCCTCGCTGTGCCTGTCTGGGCCTGCTTCTCCTGCCTCCCCTGACACATGTCCTTGGCCTTCTAGCCCTTGCAGAATTATTTTAAAAGCCCGCGTGTTACGGGGGCGTCGGAGCTCAGGCACATGACTCTGCTTGCACTCAGCTTCAGGGTTACCAACCTCCTGGCCAGTCTCATTTCTCCATTTGTGCCCTTTTCTCTTCCCGGAGATTTTAAAGAACATCCCAGATGTCCTGTCTTTGCACCCATAGGTCCTCGAGCAGGTGCGGGCTCTTTAAGAGCAAACACGAAACCGCAGCTACAAAGTGCTTACTTCACCCAGCGAAACACCCAGTCTGAGTCACAACCCCAGTTTTCTCCAAACTTCTGCCGTGGAGTAAGTCAGGTTTAATCTTCCGAGTCCTCTGTTAACTTGTGCTCCTTACGAAACCTGCAGAACATCTGGTGGGTTCTCCGCTCCCCCTCGTGCAGCCCGGAGCCTGTTCTCCCCCACGGGAACCTGCCGGCTGCCCCACTCCAGCGTGCCCTGTTGCGGGGCCAGCCACCGTGACCCCCGTGCTCAGCTCATGGGCCTTGAGCCTGGATGCTTCTAAGTGGCTCTGCGTCCCATGGTTGTGGGCCTGCCCCGGGGAGTCCTGCCCACCTGGGTCTGGGGCCTCCTGTGGGGTGACTGGGCCAGACTCCTGCCCTGAGACCCCAGCCTGTGGTGGGTCTGACCAGGGTGGGGTGGAGCTGGGAGAAGGCAGGTGGGGTGGGCTCCTCCCCTGCCCAGGTCTGAAGGGGGCAGGTGGAAGGTGCTGTTAGAGCCCCGAGTCGCAGCCTCATGGCCTGGCTGACCCTGGGGGCTCCCTGGGCCCTTCTGATCTGAAGGGCCCTGTGGTGGGTCTGACCAGGGTGGGGTGGAGCTGGGAGAAGGCAGGTGGGGTGGGCTCCTCCCCTACCCAGGTCTGAAGGGGGCAGGTGGAAGGTGCTGTTAGAGCCCCGAGTTGCAGCCTCATGGCCTGGCCGACCCTGGGGGCTCCCTGGGCCCTTCTGATCTGACTTTTGGCCCGTTGAGGATCCACTTACAGTATACATTCTGGATGTGGCCACGGAGCCCACCCAGCCCCAGCTGCCACTGCCACCACCACCTGGCACCTGGATTGCCACCCTGCGGCGGCCTCCAGCCAGTCTCCACGTCTACCCTTGTCCGCAGCCCCCAGCCTGAGCTTCTTTTTTTTTTTTTTGTTAAAGATTTTATTTGATAGAGATCACAAGTAGGCAGAGAGGCAGACAGAGAGAGGAGGAAGCAGGCTCCCCGCCAGGCTCGATCCCACGACCCTGAGATCATGACCTGAGCCGAAGGCAGAGGCTTTAACCCACTGAGCCACCCAGGCACCCCCCCAGCCTAGCTTCTTGAGGTGGCGCGGAGTCCTGGCTTGCCGGGAGTGATCCCACACCCTGCGTTGCTCACCTTGCCTGGAGTCCGCAGGGTGGAGGCAAGCTGTGCCCTGTGTCCTCGTTTTTGCAGGGGAGGGGCTGGGGACAGTGTGCCTGAGGCCGAGGTCCCTGCCCGCGTGGGGCCCACAGGCTGGTGGTGGTTGCTGAGGGGACGGCCATGGAGACTGCCTCGCCAGAGGCTCATTTTGGGGGCAGGGAGGCTTCGCCAAGGAGGAGGCTGCCCACTGCAGGAGGTGCGGGCCCCTGGCTGGATAGGATTGCGGGGGATTGTGGGGCCAAGGCCCTGGGGACAGACTGAGACGGGGTGCGGCAGCGAGATGAGACGAGAGCCATCCTGGTCGCGGCTCTAACCGGAAGGGTGCAGAGTGGTCTGGGACAGCAGGCTGCCTGCAGGCTGGTTCCAGGCTGGGTGAAGGCTCTGGGCGGCCTTGTGTGTGCTGTGCCGGGCAGCCCCACACTCCTGCACTGGTCCCTCAGCTCCAGCTCTCGCATCCCCCAGGGCCCCTTGCTGAAGATGCTGAGGGGCTCCCCGGCCTCTCTTCCCGGCAGCCCCGTGTGGGTCTGGCTGGCCGCGTCGGGGACGCTGGCGGAGGAGGTGGCTTCACGATCGGTGCGCCTGCCATATCGCAGCTCAGCCCTGTGCTCAGGATTTTCCGGTGAGGAAGAGGGACTGAGCATTGTCACCCCAGGGAGAACGGCATTCCTCGGGAGCCCCGATCCCAGAGCCCAGAGCCAGCGTGTCTCGGTTTGCAGGCGGCCGCCCAGGAGCTGGGGGCGGTTGTGGGCCTCAGGCCCCTTCCCCAGGGAAGACTTGGCCTCAGGGCCCCTTGGATGCGGGGGGGGAGGTGGGCTTGGCGGGCTCCAGCAGGCCTGTTGACCGAAGGCCGTTCCACCTTGCTCTGTCCCCGCAAGTCGGAGCCTCTCCACCTGGTGTCTTCCTGCCTCGGGTGACTCCCCCCGTGACAAGAAGGCACCTTGAGACACGTGGCAGGGGTCGACGGCCTGTCTTCTGACTGTCGTCAGGGCCTGAGTCATTCGGCACGTGCCCTCGGCCCAGCCCCTTGTGTGTTCACGTGCGGTGGCAGCGAGTCTGGGATCAGTCCTCCCCGTCGGCCTCCCCGGTGCTGTGTTCGCGTCTCCTCCCACCGTGTTCTGTGTGGGTTGCCGCAGGCCTGCACCTCCCTGAGCTGACCCCTGCTGCTGGGCTGTGACCCCATTGGAAGCCCGCAGCTGCGGGGGGGTAGACACCTGGTCACCTGGGTGGTGCCTCTCCTGCCGCTCCGTGCACACGAGACTGAAAAGAGCCCAGGGGTCTCCTTTCCATGACATGGACCTGCCCAGGGCATTTGTGAAACCCCAAGAATTTTCTCATTTTCATCCCTGGATTTGGGTGTTTTGGGGAGTGCTGTGCGGACTGAGGGGACGCTGTTGTTCATGCCGGCTGCTGCTTTAGATGCTCGGCCTGTCTGTCCCGCGTTCCTCTCCAGCCGCTGGCTTTGCCGGCCCGAGTGCTGGAGCGGAGAGGCCGGGCCACCCTCCCAGAGTGGGGGGTGGGGGGACTGGACAGCCGGCGGCGGGGGGGGGCAGCTGGAGGGGCGGACAGCCGGGGGGGCGGCTGGTGGGGGGGACAGCTGGGGGGTGGGCAGCAGGTGGGGCGGACAGCCGGTGTCTGCTGCACCATCCCCGGGGGAGGGCAGCCCTTCCTTACCTGCTGTCTGGGGCCCCTTTGCCGGCCCGGCCTGGCTGTCCGGGTGCGGGTGGTCCAAGGCCTGGGACCATGCGGCGCTGGGGTGGGAGAGCCGTACAGGCCTGTCCTGGGTCTGGCCGCAGGTATTCAGAACGGGCAGCAGTCCAAAATGACTGCGTACATAGAAATGACACCGTGATTCTGAGGCGGGAGCTCCCCCACACGGAAGAAGTGCGCTGGTGTCCTGGCAGTCCTGTAGCGGGGGACAGGGTTCTGACCTCCCTCTGCCGAGCTCTGGCTCTCACGGTCGCAGTGCGCCTTAGAGTCATTCCGGAGGGCTCACCGGGAATGCTCTGTCCAGCCCAGGATGATGGCAGCCCTTAAAGCCCCCAAACCTCCCCAGAAAAACCACGTGGCAGACCCCAGATCCCTTGGGCCACGGTGATGACAGCACACCTTAGGTGTATGGGTGCCTCTGTGACCCCAGAATACAGTTGGTTGGGGACAGACCAATGGCCACAGGCCTGCCTGGTGTTGGCACTGTGCTGGAGGGAAGGAAGCAAGGAAGAGCCCCACATAGCCCTCCAGGACTCCCTGGAAGCTTGGGAGGTGGTCCCCGAGGCCTGCAGCTGAGATTGGATGTGTTTTGTCCAGACTGGGAGCGGGGCCACAGGAAGGTCTGGGGCTGGCATGACCTGGGGCCCACCCGTGGGCTCTGCTGCCAGTCACGGAGAACGTTCTGCCCACAGCAGGACCCACTCAGCAAAACCTTCCGGGAGAGAACTCAAGACCAAGTGGGACAATGTCTTTGACCACAGGGGGGAAGGAAGGAGGAGGTACAGATAAAAATGGGGGCTGCAGAGCCAGGAACCTGCAGCAGTGTCCCATACTGTCAGCTACGACGTGAGAACATCAGCGGAGGGAGCTCGGAGGACCTCGCCCCTTGGGAGTTGGGGAACCTTGTCCCCCCAGAGTAGGGGAACCTCACCTCTTGGGAGTCGGGTAACCCTTCCGCACAGAAACAAGCAACAGGAACAAACTGAGCTTAACACAAGTGCTCCCAACCCCGGAGCTGTCAGAATAAAAGAGAAAAGGAGTAGGTAACATCTCCCCAGATAGGGGGTCAGTTGGAGACACCCCACCGGGCCAGAGAGGTGAGAGCCTGTGGGAGAAGCACATACTCGGAGCAGCTCAGAAGCGAGGGTGCGGGGCTCAGTGGAAAACAGGAGCAGATTCTTTTCAGAAGGCGTCTGATTCCTTCAAAAAAATGAAGGAGAAAACTCAAGAGGGAACACAAAGAACATACTCCCTGAGAAAAGTTGGAGGTAAAAAGGAGGGATGTTTAAAAATCAAAAAGAAATGAAGAAATGTTAAAATGGAGTTAAAAAAAAGTCAGAATCCCAGCGTGTGGATGGGGAGGTCCTTGCAGAAATCCAAAGCAAAGAAAGAGTAAACAGTGAACACTACAAGCCAAGAGGACCTTTCTGAATTCTAAAAGTTAGGTCTTGAAAGAGCAAATCACAAATCCAAGGGCGTCACCAAAACGAACGAGCCGTGTTCTGTCCGGGTCACTGGATGGTGAGGAAAGAAGGAAATCTTGGGGGCGTCTAGGGGCAGGGCTTTATGCCAGAAGACCGCGGGGCCACATTTCTGATTCCCAGGAGAAGGAAAGGCGAGCCAGGGGCCTCATCAAAACTGACGTACAGGTCGGAAGGGCACAGCAGGAGCTCAGTCTGAGAGTTCTGGGCCCTTCCAAGGGATCTTAGCAGGCGAGCCGAGAACCGCCGCTGGCTGGAGAGAGGCAGGCCGAGAGCGGGGTTGGGTCTCAGGAGAGCTGCGGCAGGTTCGCTGGGCCAGGAGTAGCGCACACAAAGCTGTGTTTTGTGTTTTCAAGAAATTGTCATCGGTGGTAATAGGGTGGTTATCTCAGCGCTACCTTGGGGTCAGCAAGTGAATAATTACAGGCTATTTGCATTCTCTTCTCTCCTCTGAAGGGGGATGCAGACATCACAGAGAAAAGACTCAAGAAAAACCTGTAGGTCCGGATCTGTCTGGAAGAAGTGTCCGTGTGAATGAACTTAGCGGAATATTTCTGTTAGAAAAAAAAAAAAGCAGTGACTGCTCCCAGCTTGAGTCTGGAAGTACTTTTGCATCAGATGAACCAGGGCCTCCTGGAGAAACAGCGATTGCTGGTGCAGACAGGACCTGGGGATGTGCCAGGAGCATCCCACGGGGCTGGGGAGCAGGGAAGCTGTCAGGGCCCACCAGGGTCCTGCCCGAAGGACGCCGTGCTTCTTGGAGACCCCCCTCCCCAATCCGTGTAAACGCAGGCGTTCGTCCCGATGCTCAGAAAGGGGAGACTGGAGAACGATAGAGAACCAGTTCATTACCTCGAAAACTGGACCCCATGGTGACGCGAGCGTGGACCCTGCCATGGCCACGTGCAGCCGACCCTGGGGACGGGGAGTGAGTGGGAAGCCTTCAGCTGCCCCTGCCACCGAGCAGCTCTGGGCCAGTAGTGCCGAGCGCCACAGAACGAGGCACTGGGGCTGTCATATGGCCCTGGAGCAAGGGCAGGGTCTTGCCTTCGGGCCCAGCTGCTCTCCGGCAGCAGGGAGGGGGTCTGAGGAACCCCCTGAACCCCCTGCAGTGGGCAGAAGTGGGGGGACTGGAGCGAGGCTTTCCAGGTCGATTCTGTGCTGTAAAGACCTGAGCTCTGTGGTGCCGCCCTTACCGGATGTAGACGCTTTGAGGCTGGTGAGGTAGTGCCCACTTCGGCACATCGTGGCGCTCTTTGCATGGGTGTGTGTTACCCCGGGTCCGTGTGTGAGTGCTCTGGGCTCAGCCTGTGCCTGGTGTGTGACTGGCTGCCACGTGGAGCCCAGGGTCTGGGAGGGAGGGAGCGGGGAAGCAGTGTTTCTGATGCATGCTTGGAAGGGAAGCTGCGGGTGCACTCGTGGAGGGCCATGCTGGGCTGGTGGGCACCGTGGAGGAGTCCCGGCTGAGGCCCGGGCCCCACTCGCTGGATCGGGGAGCGAGAGCCCTTGCTGACCCATGGGGGTCAGTCTCTGAGCTGTGAGATCCCACTTTCACTTTCCCTGGGACATTGCTCAAAGCCACGTGTGGTGCAGACGTCGGACAGGCTTTGAGTCCTCACCGTACAGCCGGCCAGACCAGGGCCCCAGGCTCCTCTGTCGTCTGCATGGGTCAGACAGGGGCTCCGGTATGTGGGGGCCACATTCCCAGGTGCCAGGGCAGGCGGGATCCCATGATAGCCTGTGATCCCATGAACCAGCCCTGCTCCTCCTTCCTCTTCATCTGCACCAGGATAGTCTTCCTGGAGCCCAGGTGTGATGCCCTCACTCCCGGACTTGCCTTTGCTCCTGGGCCAGGGTGTGGGTGCCCTCCCCCTGCCAGTGGCGCTCTCCCTGGACCCTCCCTATCTCTTGCCTGGCGCTTTGGGCTTCAGGTATTGTTACCTAGACTTCCATCCTTGTTGAATCCCTGTGGACAGTTTACTTCCCAGCCACTTCTGGAGTCGCTGCAGTGTTCCAGGCCTTGTTCGGTGTGGGGGAGGCAGCTGGGAAGGAAAAGTCTTGAGGGTGGATAGTGGAAGACATGAATGTGCAGTGAAATGCCAGGGAGCGAGCCATGCTCTGAGGAAAATAGGGTGGGCAGGGAGGTGGAGAGACGGGGCATTGCCGAGAGCCATGTCTGCGCAGCGGGTTTCGAGGTGATCCGGCCTAGCTGCCCTCCCGTGCCACAGGGCACCCCGAGAAGGCGCGCAGGTGAGCGAGCTGCCCGAGGCTTTGTGCGTGCTCTGCGGCAGGTGGCACAGCCGGCGGAAGCCTCGGCCCTCGCTCCGGACCCTCGCTCCCGGCCCTCGCTCTCCACCCTCGCTCCCGGACGGGCCCTGTGTCGAGCCGGGGCTTCTCTGACTCCCCTCCCACCCTCTTGCCTTGTAGTGGACATCCTCATCATGGATGACGATGACGTCCCCAGCTGGCCCCCGACCAAGCTGTCCCCGCCCCAGTCCGCGCCCCCGGCCGGCCCCCCGCCCCGGCCGCGACCGCCGGCGCCCTACATCTGTAACGAGTGCGGCAAGAGCTTCAGCCACTGGTCCAAGCTGACGCGGCACCAGCGCACGCACACGGGCGAGCGGCCCAACGCCTGCGCCGACTGCGGCAAGACCTTCTCGCAGAGCTCGCACCTGGTGCAGCACCGGCGCATCCACACGGGCGAGAAGCCGTACGCCTGCTCCGAGTGCGGCAAGCGCTTCAGCTGGAGCTCCAACCTCATGCAGCACCAGCGCATCCACACGGGCGAGAAGCCCTACGCCTGCCCCGACTGCGGCCGCAGCTTCACGCAGAGCAAGAGCCTGGCCAAGCACCGGCGCTCGCACAGCGGCCTCAAGCCCTTCGTGTGCCCGCGCTGCGGCCGCGGCTTCAGCCAGCCCAAGAGCCTGGCGCGCCACCTGCGGCTGCACCCCGAGCTGTCGGGCCCCGGCGTGGCGGCCAAGGTGCTGGCGGCCAGCGTGCGCCGGGCCAAGGCGCCCGAGGAGGCGGCGGCGGCGGACGGCGAGATCGCCATCCCGGTGGGCGACGGCGAGGGCATCATCGTGGTGGGCGCGCCGGGCGAGGGGGCCGCGGCGGCCGCAGCCATGGCGGGCGCGGGGGCCAAGGCGCCGGGGCCCCGCTCGCGGCGCGCCCCGGCCCCCAAGCCGTATGTGTGCGTGGAGTGCGGGAAGGGCTTCGGGCACGGGGCGGGGCTCCTGGCCCACCAGCGCGCCCAGCACGGGGACGGGCTCGGGGCGGCGGGGGGCGAGGAGCCCGCGCACATCTGCGTGGAGTGCGGCGAGGGCTTCGTGCAGGGCGCAGCGCTGCGCAGACACAAGAAGGTGCACGCCGTGGGCGCGCCGTCGGTCTGCAGCCGCTGCGGACAGAGCTACTACCGGGCGGGCGGGGAGGACGACGACGACGACGACGAGGCTGCCGGCGGGCGCTGCAGCGAGTGCCGCGGCGGGGAGGGCCGGTAGGGGCGGAGGCCCGGGGGGGCAGGGCCCCTCGGGCTTGGCGGGGACGCTGGCGCTGGACCCGGAGACCAGAGAGAGGCGGACAGAGGGGCGCCACCAGCGGCGGGGTCTCCTCTCCCCCTTCCCCGCCCCCGCGGTCCGCGTGGAGCCACGGGCGGCCCGGGGTGCTAGGGCCTTCCCGCCCCCGCCCTGCACCCTGCCCCGGCCTGGCCTGCCCTTCTGGTTCTCTGCGAGCCCGGGAGGGACCGTGCGTGAGAACTGGAGACCCAGGGACACCGGAGCCCGCCACTGGACGACCGGTGCCCCGCCCCTCTTTCCCTTGCCCGGCCGCCCCCGGGCGCTTGCGAGGAGCCTTCTGGGTCAGAAGGGCCATTGGGGGGAAGGGAAAGAGGGTCCTTTTCCCTTTAGAGTTTTCTTTTAATCACACCCGCCTCCTGACTGCACCCTGCCGTTATTTTGTCTCTGCCCTGCGGGTCCTTTTGTTTTTCTTGGCCCTCGTCCTTCCTCCCCTCCCCGGGTTGGGCCGGGAGGAGTGCTGGAGCGGGACTAGCCCCTGGTCCCCGCGTCCCCGCGGAGCTGGGGTCCGGTCTGTTCCCTGGCCGGGACACGGCGGCAGGAGGGGTGCGGGGCAATAAATGGCACTATCGGATTTTCCCTGCTCTGCGTGGTTCTTGAGTTGGGAGGGAGAAGGGCGAGAGTGGGAATGGAGGCCCGGTCCGCTGCCGTCACAGAGGGGCTGGGCCGGTGGAGAGCAGCAGGCGGGGCAGCTGTGGAGTTGGTTCCCTCCCAGGCAGGGGTGCAGACTGGGCTGTCCTGAAGAGTGACCTGACCTCATCACCTGCGGTGGGCCGTGGGCTTTCCAGACAGGAGCTCATCGGTCTGGGGAGGACCTGGGCCTGCCTACTGCAGCTTACAGGAGGACCCCACGGCCTCAGTGGATTAACAAGGCTGTTCTCACTCGGGGGCTGTGGCAGGCAGCTTTTCTCTACAGGCAGACGTGCCCATGATCCCGATGGTGGCTTCCTCCCCCCGCACCTGAAGCCCCTTCCTGCATCCAGCTGCTTGGAAAATGTGGTCTCCCCCTGCTCACGTCTCGTAAAGTGTGTGTGTATTGAGGGGGCAGTCACAGTGTCACATCTCACTGCTCCGAGGGCTGGAAGTGTCCCTGGCCAGGCCACTACTCTGCAGGGACAGAGCTGTACTGTGGAGGAGGAAGAGGGATTTTTTGTTGTTGTTTGTTTGTTTGGAGTTTGTTAATTTTTTAAATTTCTTCTCAGTGTACCAGAATTCATTGTTTAGGGGGTATAGCTCAGGGGTAGAGCATTTGACTGCAGAAATCATTGTTTATGGACCACACCCAGTGCTCCCTGCAATCTGTGCCCTCCTTAATACCCACCACCAGGCTCACCCAACTTCCCATCCCCCCCCCGCCCTTCCAAAACCCTCAGATTGTTTCTCAGAGTCCACAGTCTCTCATGGTTCATCTCCCCCTCCGATTTCCCTCTCTTCTCTGGAAGAGGGACTTTGGTGGGTAGTTGTCTCCCTACAGGGGTCTGGGTGGGACTTGGGGGGTGAACACACGGATATTGACGGTTTGGGGTACTTTTGTGTGCCAGGCACTGTGCTCGGTGCCTGATGGACACAGCCCTAGAGAACCCTTGCAGCTATCCTGTGAGGCGAGGCCTGCCAGGGGGGTGTTCATCAGGTAGGCCCCCCCCCATGCTGATTCCAGTCTTCTGGGACCTACAGCCGGAGTCCTGGGTGCCCACGTCCCTGGGTTTGTGGGAGGCTGCAGTGGGCTGTCCTGGGGAAGAAAGGGCCCTGCCCAGGGGTTTTTCATCGTGTTGAATGGCCATGGTCGGATGACTCCATGTTCCTTTTATCTCTAGGGGAGGAGGAGTTTACTGGCATCGGGGAGTTGAGGGAGGAGGTGAGATTTCCGGTGCGAGCCTGGAATCTGACACCTGGTGGTTCCCTGTCTGTGAGCAGCTCACGCTCCCTGCTCCTCTGGGGCCTTGGGTCCTCATCTGGAGGATGAGGGGTTCAAAACCAAGGTCATGGATGGCCACCTGGGGGGTGGGAGCCTGACTTCTGGGAGGAACTTTTGGACTCTGGTAGGTCGGAAAAGCATGGTCTCAAGTGGCATTTCCTTGCTGGGAGGTTGGTTAGCATGATTCAGTTTCGTGTGAAATCTCAGATTGCTTTTAAAGGGGGAAAGGGTGATGCTCTTGTTGGTGGCAGAGGGCACGGGTAAGCAAAGACTTGAGAAAACATTGCCTAACACATGCCCCTGGGCCCCCTCTGTGAAGCGCTGACCTTGGACGGGGGTGGGGCGGGGGCAGGAGGGTGAGGAGCTGCGGGAGCCTGAGGGTGGCAGGTGGAAGGAAGCAGATGGGCCATGCTCTCGGCCTGCCTCTTCTACTCCCGAACCCAGGCAGTCTGGCAGGAGCGGACACCTAGGACGAGACAGATTCTGCGACAGTTTCCACTCTGCCACATGTGGGCTGTGTGACCCTGGGCAAGTGAACTCTGACCCTCGGGTTCCTCTGCAAATAGGTTGCCTGTCCCACTGGAAGGGCTCCCTGGGGGCATCTGTGCGTGCCTCAGGCCGACCCACTCACAGTTCATCCCTTCCCTGGGAGCCCGGGTTCACACCCGGGCTCTGCCTGGGAGCGCTACTCTCTCTTCTCCGAGCCCCGCTTGCTTCGTTTCATGCAGCCCACGCACTTCAGCAAACGTGCCTTAGTTACCAGTATTACCACTGTCGTCGTCCCGGTGCTTTCCAGGAAGACGAGTCCCAGACTCTGGAGGGACACCACACCGACCCACAACGTCCCAGTGACACAGGCTCCTCATTCATTCCCTCGGCGTGTTTGCTGTGCGCCCGGCGCCCTTCTCAGCCCTGCCCTCCGAGACGCCTGTTCTGTGTTTGCCCATCCCAAGAGACCGTGTGCTCATTCATGTCACCATATTTCTTTGTTCTGCACGCACATGCTGCCTCAGGCGTGAGCCCCGGTGAGGTACGCCCGTGGAGAGCTGACGGCTGCACAGGGTTGGGGAGGCCCTCTTGCCGTCGGCACTGTCGACATTTGGGGCTGGGCCCTTTCTTGGTGGTGGGGGCCGTCCTGTGGATCGTAGGGTGTTGAGCGGCGTCCCACCCGACCGATGCCAGCAGCACCTGCCCCTGCATCTGGTTGAGTCCGGACATTGCCGGACAGCTCCTGGGTGTGGGGCAGAGAGCCGCAGAATGAAGCCAAGAAGCCCCACAGTCCCTAGCAGCTTTTCCTCTCATGGAGTGACCGTTCCCTACTCTCCCGCGGCCGACCCTGCGTCTCCTGGCTCCTACCACGTGCTCGATGTCTTGGCTTCAGGTTGCGGTGCTGCCTGGTCTCCCGAAAGGTTCCCCTGTGAGCTGCAAGCTTAGATTCTTGGGGCCGGGCAGGGACGGGGTGGACACGAGGGATCCCCCAGCCCACGCGAGCCCTGTGTTCCCTCCCCTGATTTTTCAGGAGAGATCAGATTTAGGATTTTTTTTTTTTTTTAAATGGGAAGCCCTTCATTTTTTTAAATGTTAGCAGCTAATTAAAAAAAAAGCCAGAAACAAAACGCAGTGTGACTGGGCTTCCAGTTCCCAGTCCTCTCTTCAGCATCCATTCAAGAGAATTAAGTTCTCACCGAACACAAAACAACCCCCTGAACAAAGCGAAGGGAACCGTGAGAGGTGGGGGCTGTGCACACTTCAACTCTCTCACCGTTTGTCACATTTTCCTTCAAAGCTGGCAACAAGAAATTTCTTTAAAGGGGGAATTAAGATTTTGGGGTCCCCTATCAGTACCCTTTGTCTCCTTGATCTTGAGCCAGAATTTTAAGTCGGAACACATCACATACAAACACCTGATTTCTGGCTTCTCCTGGGAGCTCTGATAACCCCAGGTCTTCGTGCTGCGCAGAGACTAGTTGGCAGGAGGTGTGGGTGTGTGTGTTGAGGGTGCGTGATGGTCCTGTGTACACCCCACACCCAGGGGAGGGCCCTCTCTCGTGCCTGGTCTTCACAGTGTACAGACCCAATATGTCTCGGTTTCCTCTGGAGCTCGTAGACTTGGTTCTGGAGGTCAGAGGTTTCGACTCTGGGCTCAACATTCTGCATTGCGACAGGGAGGCCGAGGTGGCCACGATGCCCGGGACCCTGCTTCCTGAGCTTTTCTGGTGAGTCTGATGGCCGCCCGAGAGGGGAAGCTTCCTGCCCCAGAATCCTCTCAGACCGTCTCCACTGAGAAGGAATACATGCTCGTGTTGGGGTCTGCTGTCCTGAAGCCTCGATGGATACACGGATGTGGTCCCAGAGGGGACCCTGCTGGTCAGGCAGGTGTCTGGGGCCTGTCTTCTCGGGCATCTTGCGTGCGGTCCTCACAGTACGCCGGTCCTGCAGCCACTCACCCAGGGCAAAGACGAAGAAGTTGGGCATGTGAATTTGGGCGGCTTTCCGATCCCAGGAGCCCGGAGTGGTGGTGGTAGTAAGAATCACGCTTGCTACGATGTATTTAGCGCCCACTTGGGGGCAAGGCTGACCTCCTGTCCCTCACAGCTCGTCCTCACAGAGGCCGTGGGGTTGGCATTCATTCCTCCCCACAGTCTGTAAGGCAGTGGCCCTGAGATCCAAACCCAAAGCCCCAGACTTCACAGTCCTACTGTGTCGACGCCTCCTTCCTTATTCGTGTTTACTGAGTGCATCCTACTTGTCTGGGGCCCTGTCAGGCAAGCACTGGGGACACATTGCTGAATGTGCTGACCCTTGAGCTACCCTCTAGTGTGTGTGTGTGGGGGTGGGGGGTGGGGAGCAACAGGCAGGCGAGGATTGGGGTGGGGAGGGGGAGCGGGTGGTTGTCTGGGGAGGGGAGGTCTCAAGGAGTGAAGTCAGACAGTCACAGGGTGACTGCATCTGGCTCACTTCACGCTGTGAATGTGATCGTCTGGGAGCCCGTGTCCCATGTATGCCCACACCGGGACTGTTAAATGCACAGTTATTAAGTAGAGCACAGATGGTGAGTTGTGGTTCAACAAAGGACCACAAGAGAACTGAAATAGAGAAGTTTTCTACTTACAGGTCCCAGAGGAAGTGCAGCGCATGCCCCAAGCCGCCACATGGGGAGGTCAAGGCAGAGCGCAGACAGAGGCCGGACCCGGACACATGCCGTTACTGCGGTCTGGAGTTCCCGAGCCAGGGCCGGACTGGCCACTTTAAACCAAAAGAGTGGGGTTATGGTGAGCCCCATGGGGGTCTTAACTAAGGAGTGTGTGAGGGATGTAAGTGCTGGGAGGCAGGGGAGACTTGCTCACAGGGTGGTTGGGGGAGTCACCAGGAACTT